TTAATTACCCTCTATTATTAATGTGGGCATTTTATAAGTAACATTATGAAATACACAAATACTAAATAGTAAAACCAATTGAATGTTTTTCAAAAAATTAACACTATCAAGAGACATAATATACTAACTAAACTCTTTTTTTTTACAAACAATAACTAATCTCATATATATATATATATATATTTATCATAATTTTTATTTGTTAATGAATGTTTTAAACTATATACTAATTTGATATAATCATTGTGACAAACAATGAGCTATGAGTATTATTGATGAGAAAATGGGAGTATTATGGAGGTAGCTAACCTAAAGCAATGAATGGAATGGTGGACCAAAAGATATAAAGCAAAGAAAAAAAGAGAGCATCCAAGCATTAGGATTTATGAAGGAAACAAGGCAAGTGCAGACAGGTTGTTGCCCTATTAACTGTATAAGCACCAATATAATTTACTCAAAGAATAAACAAACAAAAGAAAATTGAGTAGATTGAGAAAGGTGGGGCTGTCTTCATTAGCTAAGAGGGTTAAGAAAACAATGGCTAATAGTATAAAGATATCATAGATTAGAATTTGCCGTGCTAGCTTGTGATATTGTCATCATAATTTAAATGGAGCAAGAATATAGTATAGCCGACCCTTTTATTCAGAGGCCTAACAAGTAAAAGACAAACACAAATTCTGTCATGTTTTCATCTCTTTGCTTTCTTTTTCTTACTACTTTTTTTTTAGTGGTTTCTCTCTTTCTTTAATTAAAGTTACATATCATTCTTGGTTTTGGGGGAAGATTATGCTATATGCCTTCAACTTTTTCTTGTGGGTTTATTAATTCTGTTTATGGTGGCTAATATCAATTAAGTTAGATTCACAAATTCTGCAATTTAAATTGTTAAAAAGAAACAATAATTTATATAAATGTTTAAATTATATATGAAGACCTAACAAATAATTTTTGACAAATTTATTATAAATAAGTGTTTAATACTTATAATTTTTTTTAAATGAGGTATAAAATTCAAAATTGATTAACTTTCACAAAAGGACACTAAATAATATTTAGTTTTTTACAATTTTTTATTCTTTGAATTAGTTTATAAATTTACATATTATCTCGTGTGTAATTTTCGTAAGAGAATGTAATAGACAATCTTTCACCATTAGAATTTATCTAATCTAAATTTTGTATATGTTCTTTTTTCTTGCTGGTTTTTGTATATGTTTCTTTCTCATAGAGATCACACATTATTCCCTCACGTAAAAATAATAAAATCACACATGAAAGTCCATTTTCTTTCATAATCACTCACATGTATCTTCAATACTACTGCAAGTGGTAATTTATTTTTCACTGCTACAAATAACTATTCAGAATAAAATTATAGAAATGTAACTCACTAATACTTGCTTGATGATTATTTTTGTTAATTTGTTTTATCAAATAGTTATTTGAAATTATTTTTCAAAAATTGTTTTGGACTGGGTCAGTACCTACTCCACAATCGGGCAGATTCAACTTAATATTACCTTAGGAAAACTTAATCCTCCATTCCGTCGGGCACGCTCAATACTCTCTGCGGTTGGACAAACTACTATCTAGCACGGAGAAAGTTCACGTGCCTTCCCCAGATTCTCCATGTGTTTCCCACACGGGGACACGTCATCAGACAACTACCCGTGTTCTAAAGAACCGGTCTTACACCTTCTAAGACCACCTCCAACGGTGGTTTTTCAAATTGGTTTGCCAGCTTGACATTGAAATTGTCAACAAAAATTTGTTCCAGCCGTTGAACGTTACAAACATAAGCAATGATTCTTCATTTTTTTTATATTATTAAAATAATTATTTAACCGTTGTGCAACGACTTTATTATTATTTTTTTTTAACTTTTTTTATTTATTATAAATGGAAAAATTTATATCAATCATATTTTCTCTCACTTTTATTTACTCTTTAACTTTTTTTTATTTTATTTACTCTTTATTTTTATTGTTTTTAATTATGTGATGTTATTTATTTTTATTGTTTTTAATTATGTGACATATATTTAAATTTAATTTTAATTATTATTTTTAATTTTATGTTTAATTTTAATTTTATGTTTAATTTGTATTTATATTAATTAAAATTTAAATATTTAAATTATAATTTTAAATAAAATAAATTTAATATAAATAATATATTTTAAGTAAAGTGGTGGGACCCAATATGGGTTCTTTGGAGTTGCACTATTGAAGTGAAAATTAAATGAGTTGCTTTAAAAGAGTGGGTCCTACAAAGAATCTAAAAATAGGTTGCACCATTGGAGGTGCTCTAAGAATCATATATCAGTTGAATCAGGATGAAGATTACGTGCTGATATTCCCTACGCCACGTAATCCCTAGCTGTTACTTGTGTTGAACCTAATAATCCAACCCAATGCAATGTAACAATTGCCCCAACGTTGGAGGCACACTATAACTATCCTCTTTCACTAGAGAATCAAATATTCTGAATTCTACATCTTTTGTCTGAACTTGCTATTTCTTACTCTGTTTTTCACTTTAGCATTGACAGACTACAAATAACTACTCACTAATACTTGCTTGTTGATTTTTTTTATCAAATAATTAGTTAAAATTCATTATTTAAAAATAAATAAATAAAATATTACGGATTTAAACATCTAATATTTTTATACAAAATTATTAACCTAAGATCATTCATAACATTTTAACCATCAATTATAAAATCAACTCATCAAGTGACTGTTAATTATGATTCTTTTTTCTTTTATAACAACCATAAAAAATAAAAATAAAACTTTAGTTATGCTTGCTTGTATGAGTCAATTATTTAAAATAAAATACTAGTAGTAACTTGAAATATAGATCTTAACCTACTCTGGTCCATTTTGTTTTTCGAGGTCTGTCCCCTGACCTACTTGTTGAGAAGGATCTGTAATTACTCCTTGGATTTATGTTTTCACAAGATGCGTGTTTGAAGAAATTAATATTTGCGTGATGCAAGAGCCTTCTATTTTGTCACATACAATTTAATTATTTTTATATTTCATGTTTCTTAATTTACAAGAAAATTACTTACATGCAAGTTAATTCTCACAAAATTTTTATTCTAATTTAAAACCATAAATTTTGGTTTAAACTCATTAAAATCATCAATTTGTCATAACATAACGGATGAATCATATTTGAAAGTTTCTATGGGATTAAATTTTGCTACGTTAGTTTTTAGGTAATTTGAAATAGTCCTATATATGAAAACGTTTGTTTTAATTAGCAAATCCATTTCCAATTCAAGAAGAAAATTAGCAAAGAAATCGAAGTGATTATTTCAATTATGGATGCATCTAGATCGGGAAGAATACCTTAATCTACTCATAATAATTTTCTAAGAAAAGATCAATGAAGAATCACAGCTGTGAATAGGTTGAACATACAAGACCCAGTAAAAATTAAATTTAGATTTTCCACTAACATTGCTTTTAAGATCTAAAAACAATAAGAAAAATACTAAATATAACAATGAGGAATGGAAGACTGAAACAATACTAAATATAATTATACGTTTTTTAATATAATTATAGAATAAACGCTTTAATTTGTATATTAAGAAAAAGAATAAACGCTTTAACAAAATGATTCATTAACTGTGTATTAAGAATGGTTTAAAAGGAAACTATCCATTTAAAAAAAATATATCAAAAGAACCATTTCAAGTGAAATAGTAATAACTAATAATTTAATATTTCAATAAAGGAAAAACTTAATATTAAAAATGTTTTTAATAATCAAAAAATTTACAAAGTATTTATCTATTTTTTGCATGATTAAAAAAATAATAAATAACTTTTTTTACTTAAAATGAAAAAAAGACACTATTTTCCAACTCAAAAGATTAGCTTCCCATTTAAGTTAAGTGTAGAAAATATCAGATTCGTTTAAAAAAAATGAGTATTGCATTAGATTAAATGATACTATTGATTATGATCAATAATTAAGAGTAGAAATAAAATATTAATTTTTCCGATCTTTTATTGAATATGAAATTACTGGCATGAAACATGATAAATCTGAGGGACAGAAATGTTTGATTTAGTAATAAAGTGACATGCATGATGCATTCCATATTTTCATCATGTATGTCTCTATTATCTTTTTCGTGCCAAATATTTTATAATCAAAGATAATAACTAGCACTAAATTATTTTATAAATATATTCATATTTAATTAAATTTAAAAAATAAAAATTAATTAGTATAAGAAAATCACATGATGCATCCATTTCATATAAGCTAATAATAAAAAAGCAATAAGAGTGATTAAATTTGATTCTCTATAAGGATAGCATTAGTTCCACGTGAGAAATGCATTATTATTCTTTCAAACTTTAAAAGACATATCCATATCCAAATTCACAAATTTCTTTTTCTAGTATTATTAATATTATTATGTTAATAAATAATTTAAGTAAAATAATAATATGAATGGTTGAATGAATTAAAAATAATGAGAGGGAAATATGGGAAAAAGGAAAAAGAAAGTGTGATGGAAGAAAAAGAAAGGTAGGAAGAGACGCATGGGCCACACACAATAGTATAGTAAAAAACAACAAACAACAACTATTACAACAAAACAAACAACAATACATCACCCATTTTATTTACCAACGTTATTACTACTACCATTCTCTATTTTTTAATCTTAAAATTTGTGTATGGACACCAATTATTATTATCTAAATAGTAAATAAAAAAATGGATGGAGAATTGAGAGGAAAGGTATATATAAATAAATACTATACAACAATATATAGGTGTAAGTGTAAGGTAGAATAAGTAGTTGTAAAGAAAAGGCAATTAAGTAGAGGAACAAGAGAAAAAGGAGAAAGAGGTTGCAGAATATTAAGGTGTCTCTCTTGGACTGATTCTCTTCCATCAATACCATATATCTCCATCCATTTTTCTCAAACAACACCAACAATTGAATTCTATTGTTCTTCATGGCTGTTCAAGCTCAATATCCTTCCAATGTTCTTCTTCTCAACAACAACAACAATAACAGGTTCTTCCTTCATTCATAAATGTTATATAACATCAAACTCAAATTCAATTGTAAGTGTGAATTAATCATTTATTCTATTGTAACTGTAACAGTAGAAATGTTCAAGAAGAACATGAATACTCTTTACCGGCACAACCACCGGGAGCATTAGGACTAGCACTTCTTGATCAAACTCATAATCATCATCATCATCCACATATCCTATGCAACAACAACAATAACAACACAAGTATGTTTATGTTTATGTTTTATGTTTATTCATCTTTTAAACACCGACCAATTAATTCTTCATTGTTTCGTATTATTGATCATGTTTCAACTCATTCTCAGGTACTAATAATTCTTCTCGCAAGAGAGGAAGAGAACCAACCGGAACATCACCTAATGATCTTATAAATCATTTCTCTTTACAATCTCAACCTTCACAGATTATTCATCTTTCTCAACTCCATCATCAACAACAACAACAGCAGCAAAATGTCGTCTCTACTGGCCTTCGATTATCATTCGATGATCATCAACAACAACAAAGATTACAGTTACAACTTCATCAATTTCAATCTCAACAACAGCAACAACAACAACAACAAGGTTGTCACTCCTCAACTTTCTCGTCTCTATTATCACAAGGACTTGTTTCTCAAATCAAACAACAACGTCATGAATTAGACCAATTCATTCAAGCACAGGTAAAAAAAAATTTCAAATTTCTCTTAATAAATATCTCCATTTTTTTTCTTCAAATTTTTGTTTTGTTAAAATTTTTGGATATTTGGTTTATTGGAAAATCAGGGAGAGACACTCCGGCGGACGCTGACGGAGAAGAGACAGAGACATTACCGAGAGCTACTAACCACGGCGGAGGAAGCCTTATCGCAACGCCTAAGAGAGAAAGAAGCAGAGGTAGCAAAAGCCACCCGCAAAAACGCTGAGTTAGAAGCGCGTGCGGCTCAGCTAACCATGGAAGCCCAAGCCTGGCAGGCAAAAGCCCGGGCCCAGGAAGCGGCGGCAGCCTCTCTCCAAGCCAAGCTGCAACAGACCATAATGTGCCAAACCGGAGACGACGCCGGCGGCGTCTCCTGCGCCGTGGAAGGACAGGCTTCGGATGCCGAATCGGCTTACATAGATCCGGACAGAGTGGTTGTCGTTGCGGAGGCGCGTGGGAAATGTAGAGCGTGTTTAAAGCGCGTGGCGACGGTGGTTGTTTTGCCTTGTCGGCATTTGTGCATTTGTAGAGAATGCGATGCGCATTGCAGTGCTTGCCCTGTTTGCCTTACTCTCAAGAATTCAACCGTTGAGGTCTTTCTCTCTTAGCAACAATAAATAATAATTTTATTTATTTTACCTAAATAAGTAATTACAATGTCCATATACTATCTTTTTTTAATTCTATCTTTAAAAAGTATAAATAAAATTACATTTTTGTTTATTATTTTAAATGAAATCTACATTACCATTTTATTTCATTTATTTTGGGTTATTTCTTGTATCTATTGCATTGATATATTATTAATATTGATGTTTTTGAAATGTCAAAATGTTTGGAGAGTTATGTGATGGTTTGTTTGTTGAATTAGATGAGGATGATGAAAGTTGCGTGTAATATTAATGAAATGAAGGAAGGGATTAGGCAGAAAATGGAAGAATATAAGAGAGGTAAGAATGGTTTTGTGAGTTGTCAATTCATAGGGTATTGTGTAGAATGCGAATAGGTAAAAAAAAAGTTTACTTGCAAGGCATTGTTACAGTTTTACATGCGTGTTTTTGGTTGCATTCATTGGCTTTATGCCATCAAATTAGGTTAGAAGTAGATGGGTTATATTATAGGAAAACGATTCTTGATTGAAGGGGTTGGAGTTCTTTTTGGAATTCTCTCAAATCAGTTAAATATGTTGAGTTCATTTTTGGAGGATTTTTAAAATAATAGATTTGGATATTGCAAATATATTTTGACGTGTAATTGATATTTTTAAATGTTTCAAAAACAATCTAATATATTAGAATATAAAATTATATTGTTTTTAAAAAAATTTAAAACACTAAATACACATCAAAATATAGACGCAACATTCAATAACCAACTCTCTCGACTATATGCACAGATGGAATAATACAATTTTTAAGTTTTTTTTCAATAATTTAAAAGATACTATTCTTTATAATTACATTAAAATTAAAAAGCAATGATGCATATAAATTTTGATATTGTTTTAATATAAGTTAGATGAAGGAGTAGAATGGGCTTGATTGACAAGAACCTACTTAGTTCAGTTGGGTATCTTTTTAATAAAATAATATTTTAAATTTTTTATAAACCAAAATGATATCATAAATGTATTTGAAAAGAAAAAGAAAATTCAAAATTTGACTAGTCTATAATTGCTTCTTTGAAAACCCAACTCTATGTGCACTGCACACTACCATAGGCATCAAGATAGAGATGTATTTGACCCTTCAAATTGAAGCAGCCTAATAGCCCCTTTTAAGTTCATCGAGACGTACTTTTAGGACACTGCCAAGCCAACAAAGGCACTTCAATTAATTTCCAAGAAAATATGTCCCTCTTCTTTCTCTCACCCTCTATATTCCAAACTAGTCCCTTTATTCCATCTTCCAAGAAACTATGTAATTGTTTTAATTATTTTAAAATTTAGTATTCGATCTTATGGCCGATTAATTCAAAACAATGTCTTATCGAGGGCTCAAGTGTGAGCAGATTATATATAGACTGAACTAACACAGAGATTGTTACATTCAATGGAATTACGAATCTGAGATCTTAAAAGAATTACAGTGTCAACATACAAGTATTTGTCGACCGATCAACTCTTTTTTCTAAAACCAAAAAAAAGAGTAAAAATAACAAGGAATATTTTTTAAAGAAAATCAATAAAGGACTAGGCTATTAGTTGTTGTCATGCATTAAAGAAAACGAAAACATCAAGAAATACTGTAAACACCAAAACCTAACAAACAAGGAATTGGACAAGACTCAACATCCTTATTTGATGCAAAGTCATGTTTTAAAACTTCAATTATATCAAAGTGGTGGAACTCAATTCAAAGCCAAACTCATCAAAATTTAGCCAAAATCATAGCAACGAGCAACATGGAAAAATAAAAACACTCATTATTATTATTATAATTATTAAAATAAAACACTTGAAAGACAAGACATACATGTTTCCTTTGTCCTTTTCCCCATATACTTAATTCATATTAACCTATCTAATTATTTTTTGCCATTAACAACTCGTCCTTGGTGAAACCATGCACTATAATCAAATTGTCCCCTCATGTGATCTTTACTCCACTTTGTCTACACTCTGATCTATCTATTTTTTTTCTCCATCTACACTATTGATTTCCTCATTTCCATGATAAGATAGAAAAACAATTTATTTTTGAAATTACGAGAAAACAAAAAATTGTGGGGAAGAGAGAAAAAGGACAATAATAAGACAGTGTCGTTCATGTGAGAGTAACATGTAAATTATTGGTGTACATAAAAGGTTTACGGATCAAACACGTTTGAGTTGTCAATATGCATGAGAGAGCAGAATAGATGAGTCAAGATTAACTTTTGCAAAGTTTATGGTGGTGTTCTTGAAATTGATGATTTTTCAAAAATGAATGGTGTAGTATTATTAAAAAACTTTGTGAAGGAAAAAATGTTAATTAATTTTGTTAACTTATGTAATTAAGTCTGTCAGATTCTTTGTCTGGGTTGGTGAATGAATGACACATTTGAGCTTATCCAGATGGTGGCATTGAAAATAATCATGAATTATGAAATTCAATTATCATATTGTGTCCAACTAATTACGTAATTAAAATGAATATTAAAATAATTACAAGATTTTAAACAAATTCTTCACATGCATGATCTCGCAGCACCTTCCTTGTACAAGCAAATTGTCTTCAATCAACTGTACACATGTTGAGAATCTTAACATTGAAAAAATTGTTATCAATAATAGAGTTGAATGAAAGTACACACGAAAAGTCATGATATTGCAGTGTTAGCTCATTTTATAATCAGAATTTATGATTTGTTGTGTCATGGTCTCTTGTTGATGTGATCATTAGTCTCCAAACTAGGTTTCTGAAGTATAGTCTATATTAGGGTTTTTATGAGCCTGTACAGTTTTGTTCTTTATAAAACGGGTTCAGGACATGAGAGAAAATTGTTTTAAGGAAAAAGATAGATCCTACATTGAGTTTCAAATTGGAGTGTATCATGGAAAGCCTATATTTGTTTGAGTTTAATGAGATTATAGACAAATTCTAGATGACCCGGCCGGTAGACAAGGGAAAAAGTTACTCTCTCTGTTTTAAAATAAATGTTATTGATGAAATTTTATTTTTTATCTTTTAATTATATTCTTTAATTAATATTTTTAATTTATTATTTTTACACTTTGCATTAATGTTAATTCAAATATATTAATAGTTGATATGGATAATTTTATAACTTTTAAAACTAGACCGAACTGGTTGGTCGGATCGGTTGAATTGGAAATTTGAGTGATAACCGGTTTAATTCAATTGTTAGATCGGTTATGTATTTGAACCGATGGAAATCAATGTAAACCGATAAAAACTAGAAACTAGCTATTCAAGTACTTTCGTTTTTTATTATTTAAAAAATAAAATAAAATAAAATAAGAGAATACTAATATTCTTTCCTTTCTTATAACGTTTTCAGTCAAAACTAAAAGAGGTTCCTTCTTTATCGCACCATTTTTTGTCGCCTCCCCTCCACTACGCTCTTGCTCTCTGGTCGTCGCACCTTCAAGCACTACCTTTCAGGTTTTGTTTTCTTTTTTCTTTTCTCTCTCATGATTTCCGTTCGTGAACTTGGATTCATTCCAAAATTGTTCATCTTATCGTATGTTTCCTATCTTGTCTGTTAATTTATGTGTTTGTTATTGTGATTTTGTTTCCAGACTAAGAGAACCAAAAGTGTTGGTTGTTAAGAAGATCAAAATGAACTTTGGAAAGAAGAATTCTCATTGAAGAAGAAGTTATTACAAGCTAAGATATATATACAAGTATGGTTTCTTACACCATAAGAAACTTATATCATAGCACATCATAGTGTAACCATGAGAGAGTAACTAACTTCTAATCAACCAACTAACATGTAACAAACTCATTTAAAGTTAATTGTTGATGCGTGATTGTATCATCATCATTCTTTACGTTTGCATGTATGGCATGGTTCAATATCCCGCTACAAGATGAAGGTTGATAGATGTTTATCAACTTCATCTTGACCAATAGTGCATGAAAAGGCTGAGGATGGAGAGACTTAGTGAAAAGGTCTGCAAGCTGGTCCTTGGACTTGACAGGAAGAAGCTTTAAGACTCCTTGAATTTTCTTTGCTCTAACATTGTGACAATCAATTTCCAAGTGCTTCGCGCGTACATGAAAAACAGGATTTGAGGCAATGTAAAGGCCACTTTGGTTGTCACAATAGATGACTGGTGTTTTGGTGAAGGTAATGTGTAAGTCTTTCATGAGGTAAATGAGTCATTGTAGTTCACATGTGGTTGCTGCAAGGGCCTGAGACTCAGTTTCAGATGAGGAACAAGATACAATGAGTTTTTTCTTGGTGAGCCATGAGATGAGGGAACGATCAAGAAAGAAACATTGGCCAAAGATAGACATGTGTGTGTCAATACAACCAAGCTAGTTACCATCAGAATATCCAAGTAGTTGCAAGGAAGAGTCTCTAGGTAGAACAATGCCTCGAGCTAGACAAGATTTGAGGTACTTTAAGATTCTGTAGGCTGCCTTGAAGTGAGTGTTTGTAGGAGAAGCCAGAAGTTGACTCAATTGTTGGGTGCAAAATGTAATATCTAGCCTTGTTGCATTGAGGTATAGCAACCTTCCTATGAGTCTTCTAGGATGGGATATCATGATAGAGAGTGCTAGAATCTTTGTTCAATTTCAGTGTAGGATCAGAGAGAGTGGAGACGGGTTTAGAGTTAAGAATACCTGAATCTTCTAGCAGATCAAGGCAATATTTTCTTTGGTATAGAAGGATGCCTTCGTTGGAATGAGCAACTTCAATATTTAGAAAATACTTGAGCTTGCCCAAGTCTTTGATCTTGAAAGTGTTATCCAAAGTTGTTTTGATCCTTTGAAATTCATGGAGATTATTGCCTGTTAGTATCACATCATCAAAATAAACTAGTAGGATTGTGATGGATGATGTGTTGGTTTTGACAAAGAGAGAGTGGTCTGAGATGGTCTGTCTGTAGTGATAGTCAAGGAAAAATGAAGTAAGCCTTTCATACCATCTTCTT